GCCACTCCTTGAGGCAATGCAGGGTGCTGGCGTCTCTGAGCTCAGGACACCATTGTTTCTGAGATGTGGGAGCCCGGGTGTGAGGCGGGGGTGAGGCAGGGGTGACAGCGTGGGGTGAGGCGGGGGTAAGGCAGGGGTGAGGCAGGGGTGACAACGTGGGGTGATGCGGGGGTAAGGCAGGGGTGAAGCAGGAGTGACACCGTGGGGTGAGGCAGGGGTAAGGCAGGGGTGAGGCAGGGGTGACAGCGTGGGGTGATGTGGGGGTAAGGCAGGGGTGAAGCAGGAGTGACAACGTGGGGTGAGGCGGGGGTAAGGCAGGGGTGAGGCAGAGGTGACAACGTGGGGTGAGTCAGGGTGAGATGGGTGAGGCAGGGGTGAGGCAGAGGTGAAGTGGGGTGAGGGAAGGATGAAGGCAGGGGTGAGGCAAAGATAAAGGCAGGGATGAGCAGAGGTGAGGAAGGGAAAAGGACGGGTGACACAAGGGTGAGATAGGAGTAAAGGGAGGTGTGAGGCAGGGTGGGCAAGGATGAGGCAGAGGTGGGGGTGTGAGGCCGGGTGGGCAAGAGTGAGGCAGAGGTGAGGCAGGGGTGAGGCAGAGGAGAGGCAGGGGTGAGGCAGGGGTACCACTCTGCTGCAGTTTCTATCTAGACAGGAGCTCCCGGCCCTGGCCAGCCTCCTGCCCTCTGCAGTACTGTGGCTTCCTGGCTGCCCACTCCCTGCTGCCCCAGCCAGGAGGCTCCATGTGCCCACATCCCAGGCTCTCTGTGACCCTTCCCCTGGGACACGGCATCGCCTGCCTAACCGGCATTTCGCCTTGCACACCACAGGGGACCCTGCACTCACCAGGCAGGCCCCAGCTCGGCCTCCTCTCCTTTCTGAGGCCTGGCTCGTTCCCAAGTCGTGGAAAACTCTGCCCTCGCTTATCACAGCAGGATCACCAGACGTCCAGGGTGTGGTGGGCCTGCACCCACTCTGTCCTCACTCTCTCAGCAGGGTCACCAGGCGTCCAGGGTGTGGTGGGCCTGCACCCACTCTGTCCTCACTCTCTCAGCAGGGTCACCAGGCGTCCAGGGTGTGGTGGGCCTGCACCCACTCTGTCCTCACTCTCTCAGCAGGGTCACCAGGCGTCCAGGGTGTGGTGGGCCTGCACCCCAGTCTTAAGGAGTTCGAGTCTCTGCAGGGAACACTCAGGGTGACCCTATCATAGCCTCCCCTCCCCGCGGCCCTTCTCCCTGGCGCCAGGGCGTGTCCTCAGCTGGCTCCAGCAGAGGGGCTTCCCCAGGCCTCCGTCCCCCCTCCCTGCCCCGCTGAGGCCCTGGTTTTCAGGTGAGGCTCTGACCCCGTACCCACTGCTGGAGCCCTGGGAGCTCTGCTGGGTGCATAGCCTCTGCATCCATCCGCTCACATCAAGGGCCTCCCTGGCCCTCAGGGACATCCTGGAGAGGCGGGGGGTGGGGGAGGGGTGGGGGGAGGAGCTGTGGATTGCCCAAGATTCCTGTCCTATACCTAAGTTCTAATGATGCACAGGCTATAGTATCAAAAGGAAATGTCTAGAAGAGAATATACAACACACGGTAACCAGTACCACACGGTAACTAGTATCACACGGCAACTAGTATCACCTTCGTTCACCCACTGCACGGCCTGCTCCCGTCTCTGCTCTCTGATCCAGCAGGGACCACTCCCCAGATGTGAGGGTGTGGTAACAGCAGTGCGCCAGCATTCACCAAGTC